GGCTCGGCCTTGGCCGAGCCACCTTGAGGTGGCTCGGCCACCGAGCCACCTCAAGGTGGCTCGGCTAAGGCCGAGCCGCCTTGAGGTGGCTCGGCTTTGGCCGAGCCCCCGCGGGCGGTGTTTTCCGACTTTTTCGAGTCGTTTTCCGTTGTTTCCGGTTCTGTCCGTGATTCGGTTGATTGAGACTCTGATTGGTTGATCTGATTTGGCAGTAAGTTGGATTCCTGATTTGGCAGTAAATCCGCTTCTGAGTTCGAGTCCGAAATTGATCTTGATTCGATCGTGATTCGTCCGAGTTTCCCCTTGGTTGGATGGCTCGTTGATTCCTCAACTCATTAGCTTGATTCTGCACGCGGGTGGATGCATTCCGTCGCTTCTGTGCGATTCGTCGATCTCGTCGCCTCGTTGGTTCGTCGGTTTGTGCCGAGCTATGCTAGGGGACCTATAAGCAATTTTATATGCCTACAGATACCCCCTCCAAAGTATTTCAGTCTCGTTCTTTTATAGAAGAGTCTGGGATACTTTGGATATGATTGTCCCTACCTTCAGTCGGTATAACGGGACCTCGGAATGGCTTCTGTTCTTGACTCCTTCAATTCTCCAGGCTTTTCGGTGCTTTGTCGAAAGTCTGTAAGAGTTCCGGTGCTGCATTTATTGTCTGACCGTTTGTCGGAATTTTCTGAACTTGAAGTCGATTCCTTTGAGCTGACCATTGATTGTGGCGTCGAGTCTTTATGCACAACGCGTTGTCCGGCGTAGTGTGGTTGAGTTATCCTTAAGAATATTTATAAACAATATTCTCCAGGAACTTCTCAAACCAAAAATAGGGAATAGTTTATACTCATATACCTTATTGGAGTATTAAGAAGCAGTTTATACTCGTATACTTTTCGGAGTGTTTTTGTGCCTAAATGAGCTGAACCGGCTTAAAATGAGCCAAAAAAGGCAGTAAATCGGCTCAAAAAATCCTCCAACTCCTCCGAACAAATGGGAGAGGGGTGAGTGAATGATGGACTGAACCGTCGCTCGATTTGAAGTCGTTTCGATGCTCGGTTCGGCTTCAATTTGGATTTTGGTTCGAACTGGGTCCGGTCCGGTTCGGTTCGGTTTGGTTCAACCCGGTCCACCTTATATAAAGGGGGTCTTTTTCTTTTCTTTTTCTTCACCCTAGGGCCGGCCCCCCCTTTTGCCTCCTTTTTGAATTTCTCTTCCCTCGAGCCTCCGTTCTCCCTCAAAACTCGATCTTCGTCTTAGATTCATCCTTCCTTTTGATCCTTGACTGAGAAATCCCTCGAAACTTCCATATTTAGACTTTCCTTCGAGCCCCTCGAGCGCGTGGTTCGAGCACTTCCAAGATCTAATTTTTGTCGGATCCTCGAGCTTCCCCTCAGGTATATCTCCATAATCTTGATCTATTTCATGTTTGATCTAGTGTATGGAATAGCGGGATCGCATATAAGGGTTGAGGGAGTGATTTGATGCCTCAAGCTCGCCTTTTTAGGGGATAAAAAAGTGATTTTTATTTCTAGATCTGACCTCTTGAATTTTTTGTAGGCCATTATGTCGCGAGTATCGAGAGGTCGTTTTCCTGCTGCATCGGTTGATGGCGCGCCTCCCTCATATGCTGGTGAGCAATTTTTTGACCTTTTTCGAAAATTTACAAATTAGTCCTCTTTTTTCTGGATATTTGCAAATTGGTCCATTTTACCCCCCGTTGTTCTCCTTGGTGAGGCAACCGGGAAAGGCCTTGGTTCTCCTTGGTGAGGATCGACGCTTTATGGAAATTTTGCAAATTAACCCTCTTCTTCTGAGAATTTGCAAATTAGTCCTTTTACCCCATTTTGCTCTCCTTGGTGAGGCGATCGGGAAAAGCCTTGATTCTCCTTGGTGAGGATCGACGCTTTAAAGATGGGTTTTGCTTGGTCAAAACCACATCTCATAATAAAGGGGGCGTTTTGACGCTGCATTGTGCTTTATAAGGCAGGGATATATTGTCGATATACCCTATCTTATAAATGCGCAATGTGGCCAAATCGTCTCGCCCTTTATAAGGCAATGACTCTATCTTACCAATTTGTAAGATGAATTCAATTTCCTTTTATATCTGAAATTAACAAACACTTAACTGCTTGTTTTCAGTGGAATATCCTTCCGGAGCTTTTTCATCGCATGCGGTGAATGGACGTCGTGATGAGTATTATTCAACATCTGATGACTTTTCGCCCATTCCGCTCACCTCCCAGTTTGTTCCGGGCACATCGCTGGAAGTTGTCCAAGTGGTGAAGGAAGGTGGACATCAAGCCCTTCGCCAGCTGATCACAGATACGCCTCTCGTGCAGGATGCCGGTTCCGTTCAGTCTCTTAGGAAGACTGACTTCTTGTTTGGTGACTCTACCAGGGATCCCGATGCGGCCTTTATTGAAGCAGAGCAGTGGCTTTACCAGACTGGCAGTCGT